ACAGCAGGCGCCCCGACAAACCAAACAGCAGGCACCCCGACAAACCAAACAGCAGGCACCCCGACAAACCAAACAGCAGGCACCCCGACAAGCGCCTTCCACGAGTACCGCGCAGCTACCGTCGCGTAACCAGCTATTTCCGATGCCACGAGCCAGGGATCAAAGTTTTAAATTCTTTAATGCGCCTGCTGCCAAGGGCGTGCTGACGCGGCAAAGTTTGTATGCTCAAAAAACGTTGTCCATATCCATGCACGGTGGTTTAACTGGGCAGCACTGTACCGCATGACGTCACTCGTCGGCTGAAGCGGGCAAAAGCGGCTCCGGCAGCCCTCTTTCGGGCAATATCCGAATCATTAGTTTGAGGGCTGTGAGGAAGTAGGACAGTATCCCATCACGTGGATCTCACGCACGCTGGACTTTATGAATACTGGACGCTGCGGGCCTGGACTTTCTGATTCTCCTCTGTCCAGAGATATTGGACAGTCTCTGGATGCTGCAAACGCCGGATGATGCAATTCTGAACTTTTTGACATCTGAGCGGTATGAGCTCTGGACGTTTCAACATGCATCATCCGTATTTTTCAGTACTTTATACTGTCTAGCTTGGGACGCTGAGAGCCGACTGTTAAAAACAGCGAATCGGCCCACGGCCGGGTCATAGGAAATACATTGATTTGTCGCCGACCTGTCACCGAGTCGGCTGACCAACTAAAAATCACAGGATATTTTTGTCGCCGGGTTGGAATGAAACCTAGGAAAGATGCCAGAATGCCGTAGGGTACGGTAAAGAGTCTTTACAGAAACGTTTGCTCGTGTTGTGTGACGAAATTTATTGCCATGGGGGCAAAACATCTATGTATGGGGACCTCATGTCATACCTTGTATAGTGAGCTGTCTTTTCCCGTCTTGGACGTCACCAAAGTTGGCTGTCCAAAAACATTTTTGGCAGCAAGCTTCGCGTGACTATCTGCATTGTTGTCGCCAACCTTATCCACAAATTCGGGAGCTTTTGCCACCCCTGGGATACCCCCACATCTCACTGGCTGACAAACAGCTATTCATGTCTCAGAATTGGAAAAATCCACGCGGCTTCTGAACAAGCTTCACGACATTGGCCCTGTCCGGTTGCACGCATTTTAATCCGTCCAGCCGGGGTTTCGTTGGTCAGCTCTGTTCGGCCCGGTGGCTCAGTTGGTTAGAGCGCCTGCATTCCGATCCACCCACCCGTGGCGGAGTGGGTTCGAGTCTTTTTGGGTGCTCGCTATTTGCCCTTGAAGGGTATTGTCTGCGGCCGGCGGCAGCGGTCACGCCAAATGTCAGTTGACGTCAGAGAGCAGGACGAACCGTGTCGAGCATTGCGGCACGTTCAACTTACGCCACTAAATTCTGCCGCTGCCTGGAATTGCGCGATCGAATGATGGGTGTCGGGGTTCATACAACAAGCAGTGCTTAACCTGAACCCTGATCCCAGAAATACATCGACTCAAATGGTTCGGATCAAATCTTAAAAAAGTTTAAGGCCAGGGAGAAATGGCGCCGTTAATGCCGCGTTTGGCAGGTGCCTTCGTCGTGCAGCTTATGTTGTGACACTAGGCGCAAGCGGTCCAAATTTACAGCAATGTGGAAATTTTTACAGATGGCAGAAGATTTGACAGCTTGGTACGTTCCTTGGAAAACGAAAATCGATATGCAGAGTATTCAAGAGCATTGATTACCCTTGCCTGCCCTTGATTCATGCGACTCGACTGAAACGTGCTCACGCGCACGCTGTACTCTGCCGGTTGCTAATACGATGATAGTTTGCATGACATTTCACTTGCATGCATGTCCGTCAAATGGCATCGCATTGCTTCTACTAATCCGATCTCTGACCCGCGGAATTGGACTACGACCCGTCTTTGAAGGTTGCCACGTGACATGCAGAGAAGCCTCATGCTCCGAATGCCGATGTTTTCACGGTTGTCAAGACAGCCCGCGCTCGGCCCATGGTCAGCCCACGCTCAGCCCATACAAGCATCTCCTTCAAAAACGCTAAAAATGTACTATGTGCGGAACTTTCACGGCTTGAACGCATCGATGTGCTCAAATGCGAGGGAAACACAGTATTTTTTTATTGATAATTTTACACGGTCGGCATCCAATCAGTAGATATTCACTATATCAGACACATCATGCATGTAAAACAGTCGTCATTGTTTATAACGACAAATACTGATCCCGGTAGCTCAGCATGTAGCAGATTGATTTCCATACACATTTGACTGGTGAAAACATGCTGTCATCCCCAAAAGACGGGGATATACATGTATATTTATATTATGTATATAAATATATATGCATATATATATATATATATATATATATATATATATATATATATATATGTGTGCATGTATGTATATCCATCACTCAATGTCATCTCACTGCATATCGTTGTTTCACATCAACTTCAGCGAGATTTGATTTGCGGTGAGATATCTCACCGCCACCTTTGAGGTGAGAGCATACTTTCACCAGCCAAGATGTATAGGCAGCGGTGTATTACGCGTCCATCTTTAAATCAGCGAAATCGTAGGGGCCGATAAAATTAGTCCAGATTTTGAATTTTACAAATGTTTTGAATTCAGTTCATCTTTGACTTGGTGATTTTCTACTGGTTAGGTGTTGGCTTTGTGAAAATGTCCATAGAGGCAGAACTGCTGTATCCCCCTCGCATAGGAGCATGTCGGTGTGTTACGTCGTGAATTTCCTCCACGTAATACATTTTAAGCGTTTTTAAAGCGGCCGCTTAAATGGCCTGACCGTGGACTGAGCATGGGCTCTGCCGCGCGCTCTGTCTTGACCAACATAAGGCTGTCAGCGTGTCGTCGCGGCCGTTGACGTGGGCGGTGTGTCCGTGTGCGACAGGACTCGCCGCTGCCGTCCACCATGCCGGAGCCGGTGCGGATCTGCGTGCTGGGGGCGGGCGTGATCGGCCTGCACGCGGCCCGCCGGCTGCAGGCTGACCTGCCCGCCGCCCAGGTCACCATCGTCGCGGCGGGGCAGGGAGAGAGCACCACCAGCATCGGCGCCGCCGGCATCTTCCGGCCAGGAGTCTTCCGAGCGCCCACGCCGCGCTTGACAGAGTACGGGTGACGGAGCACGCTTTACAGAGTACGGGTGACGGAGCACGCGTGGCAGAGTACGGGTGACGGAGCACGCTTTACAGAGTACGGGTGACGGAGCACGCGTGACAGAGTACGGGTGACGGAGCACGCTTGACAGAGTACGGGTGACGGAGCACGCGTGGCAGAGTACGGGTGACGGAGCACGCGTGGCAGAGTACGGGTGACGGAGCACGCGTGGCAGAGTACGGGTGACGGAGCACGCGTGGCAGAGTACGGGTGACGGAGCACGCGTGACAGAGTACGGGTGACGGAGCACGCGTGGCAGAGTACGGGTGACGGAGCACGCGTGGCAGAGTACGGGTGACGGAGCACGCGTGGCAGAGTACGGGTGACGGAGCACGCTTGACAGAGTACGGGTGACGGAGCACGCGTGACAGAGTACGGGTGACGGAGCACGCGTGGCAGAGTACGGGTGACGGAGCACGCGTGGCAGAGTACGGGTGACGGAGCACGCGTGGCAGAGTACGGGTGACGGAGCACGCGTGACAGAGTACGGGTGACGGAGCACGCATGGCAGAGTACGGGTGACGGAGCACGCGTGGCAGAGTACGGGTGACGGAGCACGCGTGGCAGAGTACGGGTGACGGAGCACGCTTGACAGAGTACGGGTGACGGAGCACGCGTGACAGAGTACGGGTGACGGAGCACGCGTGGCAGAGTACGGGTGACGGAGCACGCGTGGCAGAGTACGGGTGACGGAGCACGCGTGGCAGAGTACGGGTGACGGAGCACGCGTGACAGAGTACGGGTGACGGAGCACGCATGGCAGAGTACGGGTGACGGAGCACGCGTGGCAGAGTACGGGTGACGGAGCACGCGTGGCAGAGTACGGGTGACGGAGCACGCTTGACAGAGTACGGGTGACGGAGCACGCGTGGCAGAGTACGGGCGACGGAGCACGCGTGGCAGAGTACGGGTGACGGAGCACGCGTGGCAGAGTACGGGTGACGGAGCACGCGTGGCAGAGTACGGGTGACGGAGCACGCTTGACAGAGTACGGGTGACGGAGCACGCGTGGCAGAGTACGGGTGACGGAGCACGCTTGACAGAGTACGGGTGACGGAGCACGCATGGCAGAGTACGGGTGACGGAGCACGCATGGCAGAGTACGGGTGACGGAGCACGCATGGCAATGTACGGGTGACGGAGCACGCTTGACAGAGTACGGGTGACGGAGCACGCGTGGCAGAGTACGGGTGACGGAGCACAGGTGCAACCAGCGCCGTACAGGGGAGAGCAGAGACGGGAGCTAGTCCATACACTTAACGAATTTGAAACCCTAGAATGCTCCGTGCCGTTTAGCCCCAAATTTTCATAATCTAGCTGCATTAGCATGGTTTTAATAATTTCAACAACAAAAAACATTGTACTGTTCCAGAATTGTGCCGGTATGCACCTTAATGCAAACAACTAAGCACACCAGGACTGCTTGGGACACAGATCTCAGGAGATAAATGAGGCGCGGCGCACGTGTGAACTCGCATCGGTTTGAGACTGGCAGGGAATGAGTTCACCACTCGTTCCAAATGACCATTCGCTGGCTGTGCGCGGGCGGCGCCGCGCCGCGCTCGCCTGCGGTAAGCTGCTGGTCAGGGCTGGGCGGGTGCCGCGGCGCTGGCGCAGCGCGGGCCAGCGGGCGTCACTCCGCCACCACACACCGCGGTCGGCCCGGTAAAAAGCGTCCCTCTGCGATTTTCTGTACCATGTCCGCGGACCGCTCAAGCGGCCACCGTCGCCTGGGCGGCCATTGGGTACAGACTTAAACACCGCGCTCTCCTCAGCTTCGCTCCGCGCGTAGAAACACGGCGCCTTCGCCTGGGCGGCCATTGGGTACAGACTCAAACACCGTGCTCTCCTCAGCTTCGCTCCGCGCGTAGAAACACGGCGCCTTCGCCTGGGCGGCCATTGGGTACAGACTCAAACACCGCGCTCTCCTCAGCTTCGTTCCACGCGTGCAAACACGGCGCCTTCGCCTGGGCGGCCATTGGATACAGACTCAAACACCGCACTTTCCTCAGCTTCGCTCCGCACGTACACACACGGCGAGCGGAGGAGCTGGACGAAGGACGCACAGTGCACACAGACTCGAGGACTTGGGCTATGTTTTTATACCTGCGTGGATACAGATGGGTGTAGGAACGGCGAGGTATGCTCAAACTTCTATTAACACGAACACGAAGCAACTTACAGTAACACGCAATGACGCACCCCACTCGATAACTGCGAGGTTTAGCCGTGGTGCAAGCCAGTTCCATGAACCAGTTCACCAGTTGAACCAGTTCACCAGTTCAATGAACAACTGGTGCGTGGCTGACGGCTCGGCATTAGTGCTTGCTTGTGCTTATGCAACTTCACGCTTATCGCTTATGCACCTTTCCAATGGTTAAGCTCAGCAGCGCTACACGGCCTTGGGTCCCCACGTTGAGCCAGGCACATGTTCACTTGCCGTTATTATTATTTTTTTACCTATGGAGCCAGTCATGGGGATTTGGCAGGATGCTCACCGACTTGGAGCTGACTCTCTCGTATACTGACGTGCTGGGCGCTCCAAACTACTAACGGTCACCAGGGCCGACCGCAAAACGAGCCGAAAGGCGCGCCAGTTTAGCCATTTGAGGAATGCTCGGTCACTAGGGGCAGACCATTTTATGTCGCGTGATTACGTAAACAACGTTCTTTGCTCGGCTTATCAAAGACTAAAATTTGGTGAAGTTGCTGAATAGGTGTCAGGCTGGCATTGGAGGTCCTGTTGTCGTCTTTGCATGTCACAGACTCTCCGCACTGAGGCACCAAAGCCAACGCAAAAACTTCCGCCGGAAGAATTAATCTTGCTTGTAGCAAGAAATAGCCCGTAAAACGCTGATTCAAAAGTCATTTCTGCAAACAGTTGAGTTGATGTGTTACAATAGGTAAGCAGTTCTTCTGACATCTGTCGCTTTTTGCCAGCTAGGGATGGTACCAATACTCGAAAAACGTCTTGTGCGAGGTGGGACGACCGAGACCACAAAAAGCGTGATGGTTAACGACTATCACCGCGAAGATGGTGCCAAAACTTCGGCAATGAAATCGAACATGCTTTTGCCGGTCTTTACGGCTGAGTCGGACCGATGCATTGGGAAATCAGTCTTTCATGAGCCTGATTCACAGATCTTGTTTCTTGTTAAGCGGCCTGTCGACCGTCTGACATGACCTAGCCAGACCTGGAGCTTCTAGCCGACGTAATCATCGAAAACGATATCTGGTAACTGGACACAGCAGGACGAAAACACAGCTAATTTGGGTGGGTGTTTGTCACAGACAGAATATCACTTTTTAAAATCAATTGGGTGGGGGGGGGATGAGCTAATAGAATGGACCTAACCTAACCCAAATTCTGATCTCTTCCCGGATTTCGCCAACAGTAATTGGGTTACTAATGTCAAAATTAGTCTTAAAAATGGTCGTTTACAAACAAATTTCGATGTTGAGGAATAACTTCCCATTTGCATCTGATGCGATGGTGATAATGATGATATATGATAGTGATGTTAATAGTGAAGCGTTTATGTGACTTGGGTACCAGCAGTTCAAACAGTTGCCGCATTGCAGTGGTCCAGTGTTTATTTCCTGCTCACATACGTGGGGGAGGCTGAGAGGGGCATTGAAGGGCGGGAGTGGGGGCTCGGGGCCCCCGAAAGTATACACAGTGACACTCCTGGTCACAGAGATCTGGGCTGCAGTCCTGTGTGGGCTGCGGGGTGCAATGTCCCTGTGTTTAGTCCGCAGCGCGCTATTTTCGAACCCGACTTTGAAACGCAGCCGCTTTTTGGTCGATGGTTGGTGCAGCTGAGGGTGGAGAGTGCTGAGATCGCTTGGCAATTGGTTGACACAACGATAACCGACCCAGCGCGGCTAGTCTCCCGCCGCGTCGGTCGCCGTTGGTTTGCCTCTTCAGTATCCCTCACGTCAACTCTGGCTGCCGAACGCAAGCCACAAAGTGTCCCTTTTTCGACGCCAAGACAAGGTTGGCACACGGCCTTGTGCTGAGCCATTCTTGGACACTTAGTCTGCTGGACACCCATTCAAATTTGATATTTTAACATTAAAAAATTATGCAGCATAACAGAAGTTCACGAGCTCATGGTTGAGGTTTAGGTTCTGTCTTGCTATGGACCTCCTGGTCCACGTACTTTTGCACTCTCCTTCGCCGATGGCCGGCAGGCCCACGGGTGTATGAGGACGGGTGGGACAATACTGATGTCTAATGAGAGCTAAACATGTGTGTCAGACTACATTTCTAGAGTAGCTGGTGAAGGCGAAGGAGGAGAAGCAAGTGCTCGACATTGAATAGATGTAAAACTTATAAGACGTATAACGGACGTTACGTAAAAAAGCATCAACCAATTGGCTGGTGTGTTGTATTTCTTGTTCCAAATGCAATGGTAACACATCACAGGCATCACGAAGGATATCACCGAGCAATTTGCCTTGACTAGCCATGTATTTGAGGCAACATATGCTTTTGCCAAGTGATGTGGTTGATGTGGTTGATGTGGCTGTGGACATATTTGTAATCACCTGGTGATGGATTTTAGGACCATGCTCAGCCTCTGCCCACTTTTCCACACCAGTGCTCTTCCCTCGGTACACAGCCGAACGCCTCTCGAAGGCTCGGTATTATTACAGCCGTGTTATGGCAACATTCCCTGTTGTAACTGGACGCCTGTGTTTACATCTGGAACCGCGCCCTCAGAACGGAATGTGCTCATCGAAGTGCTGATATGCTTCTCCCTCCACTGAGCTTCCGAGGACACATTCAGCTCTGCTATCCAACAGTGGCTCATCGCGTTGCATCTCCAGAACCACGGTTCCAACGTCCTCAGAGCCCTCAGTCTCCAGTTCCAACGTCCACAGAGCCCTCAGTCTGCGGAGTTCCAACGTCCTCAGATCCCTCAGTCCCCAGAGTTCCAACGTCCTCAGAGCCCTCAGTCTCCAGTTCCAACGTCCACAGAGCCCTCAGTCTGCGGAGTTCCAACGTCCTCAGAGCCCTCAGTCCCCAGAGTTCCAACGTCCTCAGAGCCCCAGTCCCCAGAGTTCCAACGTCCTCAGAGCCCTCAGTCCCCAGAGTTCCAACGTCCTCAGACCCCTCAGTCCCCAGAGTTCCAACGTCCTCAGACCCCTCAGTCCCCAGAGTTCCAACGTCCTCAGACCCCTCAGTCCCCAGAGTTCCAACGTCCTCAGAGCCCCCAGTCCCCAGAGTTCCAACGTCCTCAGAGCCCCAGTCCCCAGAGTCCCCTCCGGGGATCTTACTCCGTCTGGCGAGACGTGCGGCGCATCACTACGGGTCGATGCAGGCGCAGTTGTGGCTCGTGCTGCTTCAGCACCACACAACAATGCCCCTAACGCAGTTTTTCGTACCATTTTGTGCTGGTGGTTCGGTAACACCGGCGCGAGCGTGCCGGTAGCACAGACCAATCGCTGTTACATGCCGGCCCCTGGGCCGTCCGAACGCGATTCAAGCCTTTCGAAGGCGCCTGCGGTCGCACATTTCGTCAAGGTATCACTGCGCTTGCCATGTCATCTGTTGAGACATCTAGGTGCTGACGTCTGTTCCGAAAGTGCTTGCCAACTATGCGGAAGGTGCGTTTGTTCCACGGTGTCAACGCCCTGAAATCCAGTGAACTGTTTGTGGGCAAAACAAAAGCAAACTAGATCTATGTGGTATTCAAAAACAAGAATTACTTCTCTATCTCTGCCAACCGTAAAATTACGAGATGACCTATCGCCTCCACACTGAAGAGAAAATATCCGGGTGACTTTTGATAAGTCCAACGCTTGCGACTGCTACGTAACAGATCTTTCACGTGTGCTCTGGGTTATTACCGTGCTTTCTCTCGAGTGTCACTGTTTGCGACTGCTACGTAACAGATCTTTCACGTGTGCTCTGGGTCATTACCGTGCTTTCTCTCGAGTGTCACTGTTCATGTGACGGAAGCCTCGTTGCCATTGTCTCGGACCAGTTCTCTTATGCCGTGGCCATTGTCTCAAACCAGTTCTCGTACCCGCCTTGATTCCCTCGCCACATAGTGTGAAAGATAATAGCGTGACCATGGCCAGGTTGCCCATGCAAACCTTTGACCTCGCTGCCCGAAGCGCATGTGTCACTGGGAAGCTAAATCTCTTTTCGTTTGCGTGAGCCAACATGGACAAGCCAGCGTGTGATGTCATGTTTGCCACAATTCATACATCTAAAAATTTGCCACATGAGAAGGCCAAAGCTCTCGTCTTGTCGGTTAATGTTTTGGACCAAATCACGTGTGGCATGCCCACTGCCGCCCCTGAGATCACTTCGGAGCCGCCTCCTCTCTTTCCCGTGTGGTCACTGTCGCACGCTGTACTTTTGCCAGCTGACTCCGTCCAGTCAAGTTTTGTCCAGTCAAGAACACCAGCAGTAACGCGACTTCAGCGACAGTTCCTCGACGCGAACGAGTGCGCAGGCTCTACCTAAGCGATCTCCTGACCGAGCTCGGTCACCGTGTGTTGTCAGTGGTGTCTCGCCCGCCGGCCACACGCTATGTCTGTGGGCTCATCACGTCACGCTCTGAGGCTGTTTGCCGACTCAGCGGCTCGGTGGTGGGCGACTTTCTCCCGTCAAACCTTTTAATTTTCCAGTTTTCGAGCCGAGTTGCCTCGCTCGCCGCGATCCGCCACAGCGTACAACGAACGGACCCCCCCCCCCCCCCCCCCCCAATGCACGGCCTTTGCACTCGGCGACGATTTCAGCTGTAAATCAAAACAGCTCTGGGCAGATATCAGTAGTCTTGATTTCGGGATTCCAAGATGTATGCGAAATCATGACACGCTTTTGTTTTCTCAGTATGATGTAAACTAGGTGACATGCTGAAATGGAGCATTGCACATTAATTTTGCTGGCAACAATAGCCTAGAATTAACTAAGTGCGGAGTGATCGGAGACGGTATTTCCACTGTAGGATGCGCTGCACCTAATGAGCTTCAGTGAGATTGTGCTGTGAAAACATCGTTGAAAAACGACTGGCCAGCTGAACCCGGAGCAGCTGAAATTCTATGCTAGAAGACCATTGCGTGTCCTGGGGTTTCACAGAAAACGGAACCATTAAAAATGTGATAAAGCGCTCGTCTTTGAAGTGCATATATTTACTATGACAGCTAGCATTCAGCGACCTACAGTACAGCAGGAGGCACCGGTCAATCAAGCAAACAATGATTATATTATGAACGCGCCACGTTTCAAGCTGCGCTTGTAACTACGAGTCACTGTTTAGTTGCTACCACTGAACGAGGTGTGGCGGTACTAAGAATATCTCTGTCCAGCCTGTCGCAAGGGAATCACGAACATGTGGTGGCGGTAGCAGACGCCTTCTTTCCATCCGTCATGGTGAGATACGGACAAGTCAGGGCGCAGGGAGATTATGGACCGCTATAACAACTTAAATCTCATGCTGTCAAAGACAACATAAGCGAAAAAAATCAGAGCGCGCTGCTTAACTCGGCTTGCCTATATCATAAGGGCTTGCCGATGACATTGACGTCACTACGAGTGGAAACGGGCCGTCATCAGCTGAGCCTTGTACAGCTCCGCGGTCGTTTGCGTTGCATCATCCCCGCCCAACGCTGCCTAGTATGTGTGTCGGCGGATTATTACGAACGCGATTTTGAAATGCCAGCGTGGAACGACCACCAGTACATCATGTTAACAACGTTTTAAGTGACCGGAAAGCACTGAACCTGACAATTTGCCACGCGACTGTATCAGTTGGGCGCCTCCACTCGCTGAAGATCCCGAAATCCACGGCGTGAAAACACTAAAACACACCGTCTAGACAGGCTCGCGGTCTTGATTCTGTGCGCGCAACGCATCACCGCCGTCGGGGTCCAAGGCTTTGGAGGCGTCGCTGGCTACTGTTTTCTCAGCGTGTATCTACGTGGCATTGTGGCGATCGATATGCTTGGGAAGTTTGAGGATGTGACACTTTTTCATTTCCTCGCAACCCATTCCCTTCGTTTTTTCCATGTTCTCAGTGCTGCAATTCCCTCCATATGACAGCATTGTTTGCTGCAACACTGTTCACACAGTGGTTTTGTGTTCTTTTTTGGCGTCACTTGGGTTTTAGGATGGACTGAGACCTTTTTTTTAGAATGTTTTCAGCCTGAGAGCGCTAAAGAGGACTCTAACTATGAACACGTGGTGGTGGTACCACGGGCACCTCAACCTCCGTCCCACCACCTCCGTCCCACCTGTTGCAGTGAGATCATGGACGAGTCATGGCGCTACTACAAGGCGCTGCTGGCTTCGGAGCAGGCGGCGGCGGCTGGGCTTTGCGAGGTCTCCGGCTACCTGCTGACCCGCCGGGGGCCAGAGGCCATCCACAACCCCCACCTGGAGCGGCTGTGCCCCGACTACCGGGCCGCCAACGGCAGGGAGCTGGCCATCTGTCCGGGCGGCTGGAAAAACGGCTTCTTCTGTACCACCCTCGTCACCGACGATACCTATCATCTCGGCTGGCTCACACAGTGGTGGGTTCACCGGGGGTAGGGGGGCCTGCGGGAGGGGGGGGGGGGCGTACGACGAGATGAGTCGTGCTGTTCGATCGAAGTCTATCATCGGACATCAGTGGCCGGTGTGTGAAACTGCGACACTGATGAATATTGCAGTCACTGCCAAGCGCTACTCTTAAAACGAGAGGGAACGCGCGTTATTTGCGCATGCTAATTCAGGCGGCCAACTTTGCCACGAGGTAGACGTGTCACAACATAAGCGAACGGAGTTAGACCACCTGAAAACTCACCCCAAAGTTCCTTGTCGTGCAACATAATTCTTTCGCCGTTCATCAGTGTTCTAGTGCATCAAGGACAATGTTTACAGAGGTAGGTTCACGAGGAAATGGCAATGTTGCTGAAATGTTGTCATTTCGGCTGACCAGTTGAAGTATCTGATTCGTAAACGTCTTCCTGCATCCTGGTCGCAGAAGTCACGAAGGCTGTAACAGGCCTTATGGCTTCATCTATCTGCGTCAGGCCTAGCATAAGCTGTATTCAACACCGGTCATAATCTACATAGAACTGGCTCCCTCGTCCCCCCCCCCCCCCCCCGTCAACTGCCGACGTCCCTTTGGATTGAACAGCGCTTAGCTGGCTTGAGGATCCTTCTTTTTCCACATCGTATTCACTGCTTTCGTTTATTCTGAGCGCACTGGAATATGATACAATTCAAATGAAAAGGTAGGGTGAGCATGAAGCGTTCATATGATTCCAGCCATGGCTTTCACGTTGTTATCGCTCCCTATCTGCCATTGCGCAGCCAGAGGCTGCCATACCATTTTCTGCCATGGCACTATAATATTTCACAATACCTAACGACTAAGCAAGAGGCGAGCCGCGAATGATATCATAGCGCCCTAACCACTCATCACACGAGGCGTACGATTATTGTGATGTGGTTTCAGTTTTAAGGAAGCGGGCGGAACTATTGTTGAGCGGGAAGTGGAGAACCTGCGCGACATCAAAGGATTTGACATCATCGTCAACTGCACCGGGATCGGCGCCAGGAAGCTGACTGGTGACAGCAGGCTGGTGCCCTTACGAGGACAAGTCTTCAAGGTTGCTGTGACGTTCCCTTGCATCACCACGCATAGGCTTCTGTATTGCCATAGGCTTCCACGCATAGGCACTGTTCCATTGCCATAAGTTGCTATCAGCTTCCACCACGCGGAGGCTCTATTCTCCCAGTCGAACAAATGGGCGAGCCATGATTAAAGCCATGAAACTGTTCGAGTGTCTGAGACAAAGTGTTGAGTTTCTTGCATTGTCTCCGACGACCAAACTGCACCCCAGTAGCGGGATTACGAGCTATTGTGCTGTGGTCTACTCCTTCAGACACTATCTCAATGGAGAGTTGTATCGAGTTTTCGCAAGAGGCGCAGGCTCGGGAATCCTCTTGACACAGAGTCAGACAAAGTGTCATGCTCTGCGTCTTTTGGAAAGTAACCGCACTACTGTCAGCAGTGTCAGCCGGTACGGATCAGTTTTCAGAGAACATAACGGGTCACATTGTACATAATTGGCCTAACTTGCTGCCGAGCTGTCCAGGTGCACGTCCAAGTACTCTCCTTGCAACGGGCCTCGAACGCGAGTTTTTCTGAGATCAGGAGAGCCGAGTGAGCTTTTCTCACAACCAACACTTGCCCTGCCTGCGTGTCCAGGTCAAAGCGCCCTGGATAAAGATGTTCTTCATGACCGACGACGACACCTACGTAGTGCCCGGGGTGGACCGTGTGACGCTGGGTGGCACCCGCCAGTTCGGTGTCTACAGCACGGCCGTGGATGAGCACGACTCGGCCAGCATCTGGGACAGATGCACCCGGCTGATACCCAGCCTGAAACGGGCCGAGGTCAGTACTGGGCTCCCTTTCCGGACGCCACCCAGAGAATGGACTAGTGGGCTGCGTGATGCGTGACTCCGGCTTGCCGGTGCTGGAGCGCACCGTGTAAGCACGTCAGCCGGCCGGGCTGCATAGTCTACAATCACAGCAACTTATCGGATGTTTTTCCATTTGTTTACCTGTCAACTTTACTGGCGGTTGTCAGGTTTCATTTCAGGTTGTCAGGTTGTCAGGTTTAATTGTCAGGTTGGCAGTCTAACAATGGAAGAAAAGGTGAATCGATACAGTTTATTCCACCTGCATATGTGTACATACATATGTAATACACATACATATGCAAGCACACCTGTGCTTACATATGCACCATATGTACCACGCCTAACCTTCGGCCAGGAAATTTGTGGAAAGACGAAGAATGTAAGTGTACTGAAGCCTAACGCGTGCTTGTAAAACACAATCCAGGCTATTGGGTTGTACGCAGCTCCGTAGCCAGTAATTTCTGTCGGGACCACATTTCAGCCCACATGTGACCATTGTTGATAGTTCATTGTCATACAAACTTGGCTGGTAAAGACTATTCTAACATTTTGCAACTTACTTGCAAAGTTCTACTGTTAATAGGCGCTCGGATGGGGTCAAATGAACCCCTCGAGGGTTTTCCGGAATGGTTTCCGAATGGCGCCGCGGAGCAGCGCCAAATTTTGCACAGCTGTAAAACACTGGGTAGTGGATCATGTGACATCAAACAATTCGATTTTCCATGTAAGGTCGCTGACTTACGGCAGGTCAAAGTCAGGCCATGGTTTCAGCGAAGTCAGGTTCTAGGGAATTGCTCAATTTGATGGAACAACGGAGTGTTAAACGGAGCCATGCAATCTTAAATATTTTCTAAGCAATACAACAATTGAATGACCACATTCCATTGACACAGAGTCAGGCATGAGGGGCAGACCGAAGTCAAAACCACCTGTTTTATTACTCCTGGGCTGGGTCAAAGGACGGGGAACTCGATACCACCCAAAAATAACCAGCCGTTTTTAAACTTGCAAATGTTAGAATACTCACCACAGATAGAAGTAGCGTCTGTCACAAGGTCCTGACCTCTCAAGGTCATCCATCAGGGTCAAAGGCGGGCTAAAAGGACGGGGAACTCCATGTCACCCAAAACATTAACGGCCGATTTTAACTCCGCAAATGTCAGAATATTGAGCAGAGAAAAACAACTAACGTCCGTCGAAAAGTCCTCACCTCTCAAGGTCCACCCTTCAAGGTGACACGCGGGGTACAAAGAACTGGGAACACGGTACCACCCACACATAGCCGGCCGATTTTAAACTTGTAAATATCAGAGCAATCATCACAAAAACTAGCGTCCGCCCAAAAGTTCTGACCTATCAAGGTCATCCTTCAAGGCAAACATAGGCAGGACTTCTTGACAGACACTAGTTCTCTCTGTGCGAAATATTCTGATGTTTGAAAGTTTAAAATCGGCCAGTAATTTTCCGGTGATATTGAGCTTCCCGTCCTTTGAACTCATGTCTGACCTTAAAGGTGACCTTGAGATGTCAGGACTTTTTGGCGGACGCTAGTTCTTTCTGTGTGGAATATTCTGCTGTTTGCAGACTTAAAATCGGCCGGTAATTTTTGGGTGATATTTAGTTTCCCGTCCTCCGAGGTTGCGTTTGACCTTGAAAGGTGTCGACCTCGGATGTCAGGTAATATTGTAAAATATAGGTAATTTTCGATGTTCTCGTGCCAAAGCTGATCTTGAGAGTTTTTCAGAGAAATCGGAGCTCGTCGCTGAATAAATCACTGAATAAATTGCTGACTTCACGAACATTCGCTTTATGGGGTGGTTTCTAGTGCTCATTTCGAATCTGTTGATAACAGAAACCGCATTATACATCTTCCGCACATCTTTAAAGGTAAGAATAGGCCAATGACCTTAAATGACCCAGGTCAGCGTTTTGTTTTTAGGAACATACTACCTAGCGTAATCTTGGTCGCTTACTCAAATCAAAACCCAAAACAGCCCTGTATAATTTTGGTCACCATGACCTTCTAAAGGTCAAAAAGGGTCACCGACCTTGAGTGGTGATGTGATCTTTTGCTTAGAAGAGGTATTTGGGTTCTGGGGGGGGGGGGGGAGGCGCTCTGGAGATCAATACGGAGCTTGACCTTGCTTGACCTTATTTGGCCCGAAGATCATAACCTAGGAACCTCAAAATTTTAGCTTCATGAGTTCATGTATATGCCAACATAGTCTGTGAATTCAATGCCTCTAGCTCTCTTAGTTCCTGATATCCCAGAGAGGTCAAATTGACCCCCTCACCCGAGCGAAAGATATCCAACCGGCCACTCGGGCGCGTGCTACATTCCCAGCTCGGTTGTTGCCAACGCGACGCTGGCGCGCCTGTTGCACACGTGGGGTTTTGAGAGAACATACACTCACTTTCCATGACATCCCCCAGGCTCCTTCGGAGTCAACGTGCAACGTTTGTGTTTACATCTGCGGAGAGGGTAAAACAAATATTGTCTGAATCGCGGCCAAAGGGTAGTAGTCCTGTTGGGGAAGCAACGAGAAAAAAACGTTGCAGCATTGCAGCGGGCCGAGCCGCGCATCCTTTGCAACGGCCCGACCAGTCAGCTGGCACCAATACATGACCGTACAGGCGGCCAGCCGCTCCAAGGGCCGGTTCGGCGCGGCTGGCGGACAAATCAGCTGACTGGGCGCCACGCCCACCTCCAGAGCGTTGCCATTGGCTGCTGGAGAGGCCACCGCGCTAGTATTGCCATCTGGCTGCGGGCAACTCCGATGCAAACTGGGCCGATTGGTACTCGTAGCATATCAATGCTGAAGACCGCGTCGCACATGGAGCTGACGTTTGCAGAGAGGTCTCACTTACATTACGGTTGTTGCACCGTACTGAGCCGTTTTTAAATGACGTCGCTTAAGTAATACATGCTGGTACAAGAAAGGCCGTTAGCTCAACATGAGGACATCGAAGTCATGTTCCCAAAAACCAGGAACTGAAGATCTTTCTTTTATAAGCGAATAGAAGTTGCTGAAGGCAGAGGTCACCTTGTATCACGTCACGCAGTTATGGCGCTCAGTTATGCTAACAACTTTTGCCATGCACCAATACCAGCGGTTTGAAAACCTCCAACTGTTCAGCAGTCATCGGAAAAAGATGACCCGCTTTGACCTGGGATACCTGAAGCGGACATGTGAAAAAAGTCGCCGAAACGCCAAAAGCGTGATCTGACCTGGTGGCTCTAGGCCCACACGTCAACCGTGCTAGAAAGCCGAAACAATATCGATTAGCGCTGTAAATCTCATACCCGGTTTCAGCTGTTTACTACAGAACATAGTGTGCAAAATCGTCAGGAATCATCCTTCCTTTAGCCGAAAGAAGCAAAACCCCAGAAACAGCGAGAACAAAATTCCAGCTCGTCCCTAGGCGTGTGCGTATGCGGCTGCTCGCCGTGGCGCAGGCTCCACGAGCATGTCTGACTGCTGGTCCACCGTCTGCAGGTCATCCAAGAGTGGGTGGGGCTGCGGCCGCACCGGGACCCGGTCCGGATGGAGAAGGAGCGGCTCGACACAGGCGTCATGGTCGTGCACTGCTACGGCCACGGCGGCTACGGGGTCATGACCGCGCCGGGCTCGGCCGGCCAGGTCAGCCGCATGGTCACCGAGATCCTGCGAGGGGACTTCAGCAATCCCCTGGTCAGCAGCCTCTAGACTCGAGGAGACGTCGGCCAGCGGGGGGCTGACAAACTGTATACACCTGTAAACTTCGATAACCGGACGTCCAGCGACGTCGTCGGCGCTCGGGTCGTCAGGAAGCTCCAGACGTCTTTGCTCTGGAGGCGGAGGCGGCGCTGCTTTCTGGGTTCGTGGGGTGAATAGTGCAATTATAACTCAGGGCTATTTCAGTGGATGATCAGCAATCTTGAAACGCAATGAGACTTACTTCGTTTCTACGAATTAATAATCACTTGGAATGGCCGCCAGTCACTAGACACAGCGGGGTGCGGGTGTCGGGGGAGCTGGCGCTAAGTGCGGTGCAAAGGGTCGGCCGTTGGTTCAATGTTTGTTTTTTACAGCCGCGAGCATATGACAGCGCAGGGCCTGTGTTTTAATGGCTGAAAATGTAGCTATGCCACGTTCTGCGATTAATCAATGAGTTCTCTGCCACCGCACGCGTCAACCAAGTCGAAAATTGAGTGCCTGGTTGACTTTGTCGTACTCCACAACCATCTCGGCATGGACCAGAGACGTGTCATTATGTCTGGAGGAGGAAGTCTCGAACCGTGTCAGCGAGCATGGCATGTGACATGCGAAACACCAGCCTATTTCATGGGCGATACCCGCGAAAAATCCGTGAACAGTCTCTTCAGGAGACTGATATGAAAGCGCTGATTTTTCCATGAATATATAGCACCACGAGTAATACACACCAGCAAGCCTGTCACCAACTCGGCACTTGAATGCCTCGTCGATCGGCAGCGTCCCGTCGGGCGCGGCAGAGCTCTGCGGGTCGGCCTGCGCACCGGCCACCATGTGACATCACAACAGGCTCCTGCGGCGGGCGGCGCGCTGACGGCGACGGTCACGGCCTCACCCCACCCCGATGCTGACGACGGAGGTCACGGCCCCATCCCACCCCGATGCTGACGGCGGAGGCCACGGCCTCACCCCACCCCGATGCTGACGGCGAAGGTCACGGCCTCACCCCACCCCGATGCTGACGGCGAAGGTCACGGCCTCACCCCACCCCGATGCTGACGGCGAAGGTCACGGCCCCATCCCACCCCGATGCTGACGGCGAAGGTCACGGCCTCACCCCACCCCGATGCTGACGGCGAAGGTCACGGCCTCACCCCACCCCGATGCTGACGGCGAAGGTCACGGCCCCATCCCACCACGATGCTGACGGCGAAGGTCACGGCCCCATCCCACCCCGATGCTGACGGCGAAGGTCACGGCCTCACCCCACCCCGATGCTGACGGCGAAGGTCACGGCCTCACCCCACCCCGATGCTGACGGCGAAGGTCACGGCCCCATCCCACCACGATGCTGACGGCGAAGGTCACGGCCCCATCCCACCCCGATGCTGACGGCGAAGGTCACGGCCCCATCCCACCCCGATGCTGACGGCGAAGGTCACGGCCTCACCCCACCCCGACGCTGACGGCGAACGTCACGGCCTCAGCCCACCCCGATGCTGACGGCGAAGGTCACGGCCCCATCCCACCCCGATGCTGACGGCGAAGGTCACGGCCTCACCCCACCCCGATGCTGACGGCGAAGGTCACGGCCTCAGCCCACTCCGATGCTGACGGCGGAGGTCACGGCCTCACCCCACCCCGATGCTGACGGTGGGGGTCATGGCCTCACCCCACCCCGACCGGCGGGGGTACAGTACCCAGACGTGAATACAACTGATGATAATATTGACGTCGGGTAAATTTATAATAGTCCAAATTCTTACACCACTCGGCAATTTCAGCCCTGAGGGTTTCGTGATCCAGAGTGATGTGCGGGTGAAATAACTGTGCCGACTCTGCGCATGTTTGTGTATCTAATGTTTTGGGTGGTGGAAATAAGTTAGAGTGTTAAAAATCTAGTGAGCGTTTTCGGACGATTTTGTCTCAATCAAGACTAAGGCGGCAAGTTAGTTGCGTGAGAGAACTGCCGAAGATCCCAAGTTTGTCGTGAACTTAGATGCTGTTAATGCTGCTGTTATGGATTCTGTACATGCTGGAATGCTGTTTATGCTATAATTATGGATTCTCTTTTTGCTGGAATGCTATCTAGGTGGACAGGTGTCAAGTATTTTATAAAAACCCTTCACACGTGACCCTAGGCCAGTGACATTGATTGCAACCCAAGATTCAATTGTCTTATTGCCTAAGAAACTATCTGAAACGCGTGGGTTTGACTAACACTCCGTCGCCGCATCAGATTAAGCGATTTCCTACCAACTACCTTCGCAAACAGCCAAGGCCTGAATTTGAACTGTCAGAGGTCACTGTCCTTACAATGTATATCTGCAAATATGCTATTTAATTGCCTACAGATATGTGAAATTTGGCGCGGCTACGCAACGCCACTCGAAAGTTATTCTGTTAAAATGTTAGGGGATCAAACCGGTCCCCAACCGAGCGCGTGTTTTAGCTGATTAACCGCTTGAGGCTAAGTGCAATTTGTGATTGAATGCTGTCGAGGTAGCTTAACTTCTGGTTTGCGGTAAGATGTGACGGGTGATATCAAGGTCAAATGACGCACAGATGGAGAGCATGGTAGAGAACATGATGGAAATGCCAAAGCAGCTCACACCGACATATGGACCCCACTCACTACCTGTCGCAGTAGCAAGATGAAGGGAGAACTCAACCGACAGCTCGACCCTATTCACTTCTGTCAGAGTAGCAAGATGAAGGAAGAAGTTGTGGCATGGGTGACAGCAGCAGAGATGAGGCGTGGCAAGGACAAAAGAAGTGACGGCGTTTTAGCGGGAGGTGACGATTCACGACTGTGAAACAAGGGGCTTGGTTGTAACTTACAAGACATCACATCCTCATGTGACGGCGGCCCACGTTAACAGCTGTTAACGGCACACGATCTTGTGCTGGCGGACGATCTTGTGTTGGCACGCGATCTTGTGCTGTTTTGGCGCTGTTAATAACGGTGCACGATCTTTCTTATCAATGAAATCATGAGACACGAACAGGCAGCAAACATATCATAAGTCTCTGTGTCGGATGAATGAAACCAATGCTGCTCGGTTAATGTTTATACCCCGAACCATTACTCTCCGGCTATCTTCGGTTGTGCAGACGGAGCCTGACCTTGGGTTGGATCGGTCCTGACCCGGCCGACCGCAGAGCGGGTCAGGCAGAGAGCGGGCGGGGCCACACCATAAACACGGAACGTGATCATGTGGAGTCCCTGCAGGGTTAACAAAACACAAACGAACGATCTACGGCACAATGCAGCAAAAGGCGGGCGGTAGCGGCAGCCGTCGACAGATCAGTACACGCATTCTAGCGCGACTACGCGGCATGGCATCCAGAGTTGCTCCGTGGCGGATTCCGATGAGCGGCGTATGAGACGCGTCACGGCCGCCAACCACTGGCGGGGCCGGCGCGGGCAATGTCACTGCTGTCCACGTGGGGAATGTGTACTTTGCGCGGCATGAGACACGCCAGGCCCGGTTACGTAATGGTGCCCTTTACAGTTTAAACAAGACTACAGTGCATGACATCAACGTTTTCACGGTGACAGGCTCCGACTCGGGGCTCATGTGACTACACACGCCCGCCCAGTGCTAGGCTGACCCTCTGTGCACAGCTGATAGCTGACTGCTGGATAATGGCTGGAAACATGGACGTGTACAGAGACTGAGCACGACACGTAACCGGTCCCTGCGGCTCCTTTTCATTCTTCAAATGATTTTGCTTCTCTGTTGTTCTGGCCGACCCAAGCTTGCACACTTCCATCGGTTTGGTATTCATTTCTATACAGTCATGCATACACACGCACACGGATACATTTTCTTCTTTTATAACTGTTCAAAATGTTGTTCGTACGCGCCACTACACACAGAGCGCATGCCTTGCCAGCGGAACTCCACACGCACGGCCAGGCCCGGCGGGAACATTGCCACGTCAGTCCAGCCGGTGATCTCGCCCGCGGCCTTTTTGCCGGTGACGGCGGCGGAGCGATGTGTTCTCATGTCGCACAGTGCTACGCCACGACTGCGCTACGGCGCACAATGCTGCGCCACGACTGCGCTACGACGCACAATGCTACGCTACAGCTGGGCTACGCTGCGCAATACCATGCCACGGCTGCGTTACGATGCACAATGCTATGCTACGATGCACGTTGCTACGCTACAACTGCGCTACGCTGCGCAATACTATGCCGCGGCTGCGCTACAACGCACAATGCTATGTTACGACGCACAGTGCTACGCTACAGCTGCGCAATATTATGCCACGGCTGCGCTACGCCAGATCTGGTGGGTCACCAGCTGATGATGTCAGCTGGTGGCCAGGTTAAGCATATCGAACTTGTCTCTGAGAACCGATCTCAGGGTTGGGGCTCACCAACCCACCATCTTATCCGCACAGTCAGAAATGGTGAATACACTAATCATCAGTCATGCACTCGGGTGCACGAATGACGTCTGCTTGTAACCCATTCTAAATAAATAGCTACCTGAGATGTGATGATCAGCCGTGGATTCAGTTTTCGGTACCCGGTGCAATCAAGCAAGTCAGTTTGAGTTCCAGCTCGTTGCTAAATTTCCTTCATGAATACCGAATTGGATCCGGTGCAGTCCATTACAACAAAACATTTGGTAGCCATAATCCGCACTAATCCATCACGTTTCAGTTAACGTAAGCATACAATTTCAAACGTATGGGTGTACCTGGAGGTTTCCAAATTTATGTGGTGCTTCAGTCCGTTGTAAGCCACATTTGTTTGTATATTTGACATCGTAGGACCATCTTCCACAATGAGACAGTCTGGGGGCCATCTCTAAAGCAGCGTCACAGTATTCACACATGGTGAAAGTAACAGCACAAGCTAGAACAAACACAGAACACATGCAAGGATCACAAGGTTAAAAAAAAATAATCAGAAATATATCGGCCAAGTGGAAGTACTGCCTGGCGCTAGGCCACATCGGTATGGGGCTGTGCAGCCAGTGCCGGACGCTTCTGCAAGCGATGTTGAGCCGTGTCGATGGTCCAGCGTGTCAATGCCGTCGGCCGGTGCACACACTGAGAGGCGGCACGACATGTCATCACCACCACTGACCAGGTGCCGAGCCCTGTATGCTTACTGGAGTGCCGTGTGGCGGCCGTAGTCCGGTCGGACCGCCCGGTCCGTTTGTGCGGCGCAGCACGGCAGGTGAACCAGGTTCGCCAGAGGTGCGGACCCTGTGCGACACGGCAGCACTATCCTGAGCTCACAGTCGGCCTAAACTCTGGCCTCAATCCGTCCGTTGAACTAATTTCTGAGAACAGTTCTCGCATAATCTGCATCATTAAAAGCTTTTGCATTCAGTCAAGTCCATTGATCAATCCGAAATCCAGAGTTTTTTCCTGTCCGTGAAAGGACCTCAGTGCGGGCCACGAACCATTGCCATCGTCGGACCAACGGAAGCAATTACCGTGAGAAGTCAACATAACCCCGCAGCGTGAAGGTCGGCGCCGACGAGCGTGGAAACTGTTTCAGTCATTGGCCTAGCCCCGGAGGCGCCGTTTCGCCCGTCCTTGGCGCAGATGGCTTCCATGGCGCTGCGAGGCCCGGCTGCGAACCATTCCAACGGGCCGCGGGCCGCGCGCGCCGCCGAAATCGCGCTGGCCACGTCCTCCAGTCGGCCGCACCGGCCTCATCGATAATGGCAGGACGACGCCAGCGTCTGGGCCCGTGTCATAATGGCCGCCTGCCGCGGCGCGCCAGGTTGCCTAACCGCCGCCGGCGGCGGAGAGGGCGGCCATCACCAGGTGACGTGCGACGGCGGCGGCGGCGGCGACCCCGCCCCGGCCGCTGCCGCCGCCGCTGCTGCGCCCGCCTTGAGCAGCGGCACGGCTCAATGGACAGCCAAAGTGGACTGTGGCGTCAAAGAGTGGGCGGGGCCCTCAGACTGGCCCTGTCGAGACGCTTTGAGACACCCAGTCATGGGTGAAACAATGGGAGTAATTGTGTGGCGACACGGACGATAGCGCGTTTTGAACGCCGCTGCAGATGGTGGATGCGCCGTCTTGTGTGCTCGTTGTCGGTGATTTTTGTGCAACGCCCTCGTTACATATGCTTATTTGGCTCACACTGTTTCATAACGGCTGCTCATGGAGGCTTAATGTGTGTTCTTTACTATTTGTTTAATTCATAACTGATCACGCGAATCGATTCTGTGACTTGCGTCCTTCGAGCGACGCAAGAACGTCGCGGAACGTCCTATTCATTGGCCTTGACCTGAGCTTGCGCAATAACCAAAAACCCCCGCTGTATATGCTCACGTTAAAATCCACGCATAATCCGCCACCTATGATGTCATCAATGACATGACAGATGATTTGCCCGTCTACTAGCTGGAACAAGCGTGACCTGTCAACTTGCACCCCATGATATGTTGTTCCTGTCAACGCATGGAGACCACGTTGAGTGGTCAGACAATGGCATGGCAAGTAATGTTCTTGTTGGAATATGCCATCCAAGGCAGCAGTTTCCTGCTATTGGAAGCCCGCAAACTTGCGTGAGATGGGTTATTTCGTGACTTATCCCATTTGTTGAAAGATCACTGCCGTGCGATACGAAGAACATTAAAAATATTTTGCCCAATTGTACTCTAAAAATGACAAATGCAAATACGACTATCATTGAAAGGTTGGATATAACCTACAATGAAATTGGCTGCTTCTTTCACTGCCATATTGGCAAACCAAGGCTCATAATTGTCTGTTGTAGTGTTTTGCACGCGGTAGCAAATTTCAGAAATGCTAACATCACCAGCAGCCCTGCCGATTTCTAGAGCGACTGTGGGTCGCAAATATTGAATAATCAATGTCTCTTGTGCGCATCACTCCATGTGTCATTTCACATCAATCAGCGCTTGTGGCCGCAGCTCGCTTTTATTTCGGCTTACTGCTCTCTGATATCTGATATCTCTCAGATTCAGGGTACGGTTAATATTGAGCCACGAGTTTTTGTTCACATCGGATCATTCATATGCATGAATATCAGCGAAGAGTTGTCACAGGAGGGTGCGGTTGCCGCTATTTGAACGACACATTCTTGAGAATTTTAGTGCACTTCCGTGATTTTTCGCAACGCCAGGTTGAAGTTTGCACTCATGCGGGCAAATTCAGCAATTTATGATTAAATGGCATTGCTGCGCAGAGCTCCATGAAAATTTTATATACGTATGGTGAAATCAGCGTCCAAAGACATGCGAGAGAAAGACTGCTAAATATTTATTAATGAGTTGACTTCCATACACAAACACACAAGTATATATATATATATATATATATATATATATACATATATATATATATATATATATATATATATATATATATATATATGCATATGCAAACACACCTACCCACACCCCCCACCCCCACACACACGCATATACATCCACACCCACCCACACCCACACTCACGCCCACCCACACCCACCCACCCACACCCACGACCACACCCACCCACCCACCCACCCACACACACACACACACACACACACACACACACACACACACACACACACACACACACACACACACACACACACACACACACACACACACATGTATATGCACATTTGAACCCAGAATATCGATAAGATAATCGATTCATACCTAACTTTCTTATGATGCGCGTTTCATATACGTGCATCGTATCAAGTGTTAAGTTAAGCTATGATCGAAATAGGTATAAATGGACCACATCAGTGGTTTCCCACCGCGTTCTTAGTTTTTTTCTGGAGTCAGCCAATGTTACTGACCTCAAACGTTTCGTATAGCCTTTTTGACATGGTTTTAAGGTACTTGGAGGCACTCAATTTAAATTTGATAGGAATTCCACACTGTTTCGGATAGTTCATGTTCGCTTCTCGACCATCTGAATTCACTACCATCGTACCGAATAAGCAAACGGAACAAAGCAGACCATACGTGATATTCCCGGATTATTTTAGCTGCTCGAAATCTTTGTTTTGGTTTACTAAGAGAACCGCAAGAAGACCACCCGACAAGAACCACACTTTGACGCGTTCTGTGAAAATCTCAGCTTCGGGCCAGTGCCTGCGCTTGACTTGACGCGCAGTGAACCGACCAAGTAGTTGTCTGAATGACGTACAGGTGGCAGACGTGCCTTGATGAATGGGGCACTGTAGTTTTGAGTGCGTAAAATACAAATGATTCAGCGCCACAGAGCCGTTGGCGATTTTAAAGGCCGCGACGGCCATCTCGCAGACTCTGTGACCATTTCGACGTGCTTCGACATTATCAGGGCGCCGTTAACAGCGCCAGGTTGATGGATGGTCTTCAGAGCCTCTTACGTGCCGGGGACTGCTGCGGAGTTCCGTCCTTTGCCGACCTACATATCAGCACCCTTGACCCGAACGCGCCCGCTCCCCTGTCTGCCAGGGCTCCGCGATCTTTTCAGCGACCCTATCGTGTGTTGTAGCTTCTGCATGTGCTGCAGGGGCCATGTTTGCTAGAGGACCCCCGACCATCACGCATCAAGGTAACCTCAGGGGGTCAGGGGTCAGCTGCACACTAGTGCAGCGGTTACTCCCACAGAACAAAACAGAAAATGCAAGGTTTGAACTTCATGATCGCATGGGACGAGGACACGGGCCTGGACATTCCGGGTTTTACTTACTAGTCATTTAGCTATGTAATCGATGAACAGGAACCAGAGGGTGTTAGTTGAACAAAAATATCTACTTCCATGCAAAGAAAGTAAGAAAAGTGTGTGTGGTTAAGGCATATGCGTGAGGCGGATGGCCTCCGTCATTTTTTGTTCGAAGCTGGCCGCGGAGTGGTCGTCGACGGCACGACACGGCACGGCACGGCAAGTGGACTCATCGTACAGGCCTTCACGCGCAACATATCGTTTAGATATCCCACACGTTACTCATGCGCATACCCACCCGCAACGCATCCCTTATCAGCTTTACCCATCCGTTCCCCGCCCGGTGTCCGTTTTACCCATCCGTTACCCGCCCGTTAACGTTTTTCCAGGGGTTGGGTTCAGATTTTTTTTTTGGGGGGGGGGTCTATAGCTACGCATTTGTCATTTTCGTACCCACGCCCCCCTATCCCGCAGGTTATGTGCTACGTATGCCGAGCGAGAAGTTCCTTTTCCTCCCTCGTTACGGTATATTAAGCGTAACGGCCCAATTATCATAATGTTCATTTGACCGATAATTGAGCTGGAGGTGAAAACAAAGACGGGCGTGTTGCTTTTCATTAGAGGAAGCCAGCGGTACGGCTTTGATGTTTTGAACGCTTAAACAACTTAATCACGATTTGCAACTATACCTGAGCGTCATGGTACGGTGTCCAGCCCCCTCCCCGCTGTTACGATGTCCAACCCGTTGTGACGGTGTCCAACTCCCTCCTCGTTGTTACGGTGTCCAACCCCCTCCCGTCGTTACGGTGTCCATCCCCCTCCCCGTTGTTACGGCTTCCAAGCCCCTGTTGTTACTGTGTCAACCCCTCTCCGTTGTTACGGTGTCCAACCCCCTCCCAACTGTTACGGTGTCCCAGCCTCTACATTATTACTGTGTCCACTCCCTCCCCATTGTTACACTTCGGTTAGGCTAGATCAAAATCCCCTCCACTCAACGTGTGACGTAAAATATATGGGCGACCCTCATGGCAAGGTTTCACGAAAGCTTGCTCCAAGACGTCCTTATTTTCTTTAATATTGTAAGCGTAGCGTGAATATTACCAATTATGAATAAAATATGAAAGAAAAGAAGCTTAAACGCTAACATTGTGCAGGATTTCTTGAAGCATCCCACTGACATCCCGTAGGCGGCTGACCCATGTAGTCGGAGTGGTGCGGACAGGATTTTCTTGAGGGGGGAGGGGGAGGGGGGGGGGCGCGAAGTGAGTACCATTATGCCAGTTTTTAACTTTCTGTCGGAAGCCATCTATGGAGCAAAAACGAGTCATATCGGGCATAAAGGCGAGCGCGTGCCCCCGCCTCCCCCTTCTGTCTTTGGCTGCGCCCCTCCATAGCCATATTTTCCAAAGTCTGTACCCAACCCAAACCATTGCTCGTTCCATACGTCTTATATATGGGTGACATACACATGGATATACTCACCGCATGAAGTCTTGTTCAGCGCCGGCGGCCGTGGCTGGCCGGCCGGGTGTCGTCAGTGGCTCCGGTGACCCTGTCTGGCGGACGACCCTCGGCGAGCAGCGAGGGGATGGGCAACACACATGAGAGCGCCGAGAGAGCGGCCTTCCCCGCCGCCGCTCCCATATAAGCGGACCGAACCAAGTGAGAGTATCAGTCGATCTAGCCTCACCAACATGAAGGTACGCGACGGGCGGTGGCGGAGAGTGAAGCGCAAACTCGAGACAGTCTAGGCCACCGCTTGAGCCCAGTAGGCTATGCGCCCTAATCCAAGAGAAGTGTAGGCCACGAGCGCCGGACGTGGGGCCGACCGGCGCGGTGTGTGTGCGCGCGTGTATTGTGAGCGAGCCAGTCGCTGGAAGCCAAGGTTCTACGCTCGTGCCTGGGCGACCAGATGGTCGTTATGGTAACGGTGTCGCTTCTGTTGGCAGATCTTCATCGTCGCCGCCCTGGTCGCTGCTGTGGTTGCGGAGGGTCCGGCCCCGGCCGCCCCCAAGTACCCCGCCCCCGCCCCCAAGTACCCCGCCCCCGCTCCCAAGTACCCGGCAGCCTACAAGCCTGTCGAAGAGTACCCTCCCGTAAGCGTCGCGTATACGACTTTCATTCTGTTTTGATGAGGCAGTACTAATAACCCTAATCCTCGGAAAAAACAAAAGAATGGAGATATAGATGCGTTGATATTTCAGCAACACGCCTTTATCGAAACGAATGGCAGAGGTGAATTGGCTTCTGCTATTCGCTTCGAAAAAGGGACGTTGTTGAAATATCAATGCATCTTTATCTCCATTCTCCTGGTTTTCTCCGAGTAATAAGGCTATGACTCCTTCTTATCTATGCACATAATGCTCCTCGCAAATTCGCATAATAACTTACGCAATTCCATTTTGCTCCGGTCTGGAAGTTTTTGCATGTATAGCGCACGCAGCTATTTCAATCATGTGTATAGTTGCGTTTTGCAATCCCACTGGCGTCAATGTCGCTCCAGACCTGGGAACTTTTTCTCGATTCACATTTTAAGTCTGAACGCCAATTAACATTGTTACTTGCATCGCTTGTTTTTATGCTTGCTGTTGCATTTCTGGGCTCTACTGGCTTATAGCTGGCTTAAACCCGTGGTGGCAGCATGCTAAGTCTAATACAAAATAAAAGTGAAAGGTATATCACGACATTCATCGCGCACTTTCTGTCATTTATTTTTCTGAATTGTATCTGTTCTGTAACTGCATCTGTTTTCATCATCACCTGTCAATGGTGGCACGAGCCCCGAAAAGATGGTGTATTACGATGCGTCTCCGACGCCGCAGCACAGTCAGCTAACCAGCTTTTGCCCCCCCCCCCCCCCGGCAGACTCCGCCCAAGTACAAGTACGGGTACGACGTGGCCGATCAGTACACCGGTACCGACTTCAGCCAGGAGGAGGCGCGTGACGGGTACCTGACCGAGGGCAGCTACCGCGTGGCTCTGCCTGACGGCCGCATTCAGACCGTCACCTACAAGTCGGACGGTGACGCCGGCTTCGTGGCCGACGTGCAGTACGAGGGCGAGGCCCAGTACCCCAAGTACGAGCCCAAGCCCGCCCCCAAGTACGCCGCCTACCCGGCGCCTGCCCCCAAGTACCCGACCAACTAGGGCGCATCCGCGTCCCACCAGACGACCAACTAGGGCGCGTCCGTGTCTCACCAGACGCGTTCACGTCTTTCAGCCCCGATTGGGGAGAGGTCGGCAGGGAGGTATCTGTGATCACTGTGTGTGTGTGTGTGTGTGTGTGTCTCGACGTATTTATCTGCTGGTGATTGAAGCGTATTGTAAATATACATGTAATCTTCTGGTGTACCTGGGTAATCGCTGGGCAGCCGGGCGCGACGGGGACCGACAATGGAGCAAGGATCGCAACTCCGTTCTCTCAGCGGAGTGACTGCAATGCGTTGAATATATTCGGGTGATTGAAGATCAGCCTCTGAAAAAGTTGTCAAACTTTAGAGTTAGAAAAAAGTCAACCAGAGATGGATAGCGCAGCACAACGAGTGTGGTGGACGCCACGCAAGCTTTTGTGGAAAGAAGCCCAATTTCAACATACAACGCCAAACTAAAACACATTCGTTCCAGTTGCTCTCCGGCACCAACACTTCTCACCATTTCCCTACACTGTTTAAGTACACAAATTGCAATCCTGGATTACCCGGGGGCGCTGAATGTTGACGTACTTTGCATTTTGATCCAGAGCCGTGCTAGATGGCGTCAAACCGTTTCCGGGCGCCGAACAGACGCCAAAATCCGGGCATCGAACAGACGCCAAAAAACGCAAAAAGAGGGGCCTTGGATGTGATGTCGCTTTAGCCTGGCCGCGGAGCAGACTGTGCCAGCGAACAAGCAGTAAACATGCCCTGAACGTCCATTACAAGCAAACTATAGCTGTAACGACGCATCGATGGTAACTGTGAATCTCTGCACACTATAGTGGACAAGCATTCATTCGGAAAAGGCTGGCATCCAGGCCTGATTTCAAGCTTGGTTTCCGATTTTCTTAAATTACGTACTTGGCTATGTGCACGAAGGATTTCAACTGTCGGGGCACCATGATGCAATTCTAGGCGCGCTTTGACACCAAAAGACGCCGTGTTGTTCACCGTTTGAAAAAGGTTTTCGTCTTAAATGCCCTCCGAATTTTGCTGTTTTATCACAGCGCACAGTTTATGAGCAAACAGTGCGTTATTTGATACTAGGACGCACTGACGATTTTCTCCAGGCTCCAACAGCACTCGGATGAATTTTGCTGCCTTATGCTAGCGGAAACCAGAAGTGAGAAAAGTGCCTTTTCTGTCATCGACGAGATTTAGAACTGTCTAAGTTGTCACCTGGCGCTGAATCTTTCAGAAACCGTTGTAATATAACTCTAGAGGCAGGAACCACAAAACAAAGACAGATTTAATGCAATGCAGTAGAACGATCAAAAATCTACTTTAGGGCATTTATTAGCACTCAAGTTTCATTTGCGGGCCATCAAACACTGAATGATGGTGGAGACGTGCCTTTAAGCATGCCTTTATCTGATAATTGCATTAGTTAACATAAACAGCCTGCAGGCGTGTAGTCTACTATTCAGATAGGGGAGGGTATTATGCCTCCTAACCATGGATGTGCTTTCCTATTTTTATTTATCGTTTGTAAGCATCATTCTTCACTAATCGTAATCTTCAGGGTTTAGCCCCCCCCCCCCCCCCCCACTCACTTCGAGAAACTGCACCACCGCTCCCAACTATGAAAAGAAAGTGCGTCAAATCTGTGAAGAAAACTGGTTTGGGTGCATTTTGGAGGCAGATTCAGTTATTTTTTCTCGCCTCCCACCCTCCATCCCTCAACCCCGCGTACTCTGCAGAACTGCATCCCTGTAGCCCTAAACTTACCGACAACATGGCTCTACAAGCACCTGACAACCACCCCTAGTTTTGTGACGTCATCTTATAATCAGCTGAGCGCGCAGGCAACCTTCACAATCTTCGCATAGTCATTCCTGGTGAAGAACTCACACTCCAACATGATCTCAATCATTTAGAGCAGAACCAATGCAATATTGGCATGAACAGATGCAAACATTTTTGAACACCTCTACCACCTTCATTCAGTTTCATATGCAATATGATGATAATAAAAACACATTTTATTTCACGCCTGTCCAACGATCAACACGCTAAGGGAGAGGTGCGATGGGCAACGTGAGAGGCCTGCAACAGTGATGCTCAGTCTCTTACCTCAAAGCATAGGCCTAGGAACGTTTTAAAAAGTGTGTGTGTTGGGGGGGGGGGGGTGGGGGCGAAGGGAGAAAACTCAGGACACACTTCAGGGACTTTTTCTAGAAAGCAAGCTCGATGACCGCGAGGGGGGGGGGGTAGAGATGGAAGTTGTTATCTTTCTTTATTCAAATGTTACGCTGCTATGCTAGACATGCATCTAAAGCTGTTTCTCACTGGTGCGCAATCTTACCTATTCGATTCATCTGTGTCATTAGGGAAATAAGACCATTCAGCTTCCCAAGATTATTCGTCCATTTCAGCATTTTCCTTCCTGGGGACGCGAAATTCCACGGGCGGGTAGGCATTTTGGGTCATTAAGGAGGCATCTGCCTCCACAGGGTAGATGCCACAATACGGCCTGGACATAGGCTGGTAAAATTTTGAATGTGAATCGATGGCTCACAGTGTTGAAACTGCCAACAAACATGTGACAAAAGCCACAAAATTGGAGATCCTGCTTTAACAACCAAACCACAGAATAAAGGTCTTTCTGCCATATATTCCTTACCTGAGCCCTGCTTCCGTCCGCCGTCGGCGCCACTACCCAGGCCCGGCTGTCTCCCACAGGATTGATTGCGAACTGATCGTATGACTGCTTTGTTGCATATTACTGGATCAGCATTGCTACTAATTGGTGCATGAAACATGTTGGACACCTGTAGCAGTATATTTTCTTCCGAATTATCTTCCCTTACACCACACCACTCCAGAATAAGCTTCCGGGAAGCTGCCTGCCTTGGGTATGGACTGACCCAACGGACATTCAATTGCCCATCATCCACCACAGACGAATTGCTCTGCTTTTGTGTGTATACAGGGGCGTATATAGAGCTTCGCTAAGGGGGGCACAGGGTTTACAAAACCCCCTCCTATGGTGACCCAAAAAATTCCCGGAGATAGCTAACTTATTAACAAAGGATACGATTTTTTCGTTTCGTCGCTATTTTTACCTTTCAACCAAAACAGAAGCCAGAAGCAGCCGTGCGCTCAATTCTGTTTGCCTTTTGAAGTCAATAAATTGCAGAAATCAGGCGTTGAACAACCTCATGCAACAAACCACCGGAGCCGTTAATTTACACTGGCTTAGTGGGCTCTTTATAACCCGACAGAATTCAGGAGCTTTGTCAGAAGTCTTATCTGGGTTCTACAACTATCAAGGATGTCGCGAAGGTTGATTGTAGATCAATATCTTTGATATCAAAATTTGAAAATGAAAATTTAATTGCGGGTCGAGTGGTCCACAATATGTATTAACATGACCAAGCCGTGTTTTGTGGAGGCGTTTAACATTCAGTCAGAAACGATTAGTGATATAAGTTGTGTAATATGATTTTTTAAACATGCGCGCTCGCAAATCTTAGCAACCCGAACTTCGACACCAGGCGTTGTAGTCTCCATAGTCCGCGGAGCGTTAGCCCTAGCGAATAACTTTTCGCCGCGGCCCACCGGGGCACGAAAGTGATGACGCTTTTGAAACAATTACCTTTTGAGACTTAAATAGAATAGTAATACAAATTGCATGACGTAATTTTGAGCATGCACACTCGCAAGTCTAAGAAACGAAAATTTTGTTGCCAGACGTTGCAGTCTCCATGGGCCGTGCAGCGTCGGCCCAGCAGCTAACACTGAACCCTGGCCAAGGAGTGGAAGAAAATGAAAGACGTCCCTTTAAACGCTTCAGGACATCAAATCTTACATTTAGAAGGCAGTCTGGGTGCACATTTAATGTGTGCGATTTTTGGATTGATGATAACGGATCGGCCCTTAAAACACCGCAGAGGGGTACTGAAATCTGATGGTGGAACTAGGAGAGTAAAGGCAAACTCTCTATTTTTCTTGCGCTGGAGGCTCCGGGCGGTTATGCTCAAACCTTTTGAGGTATTCTTTCAACAATCCATTCTGAAAAATGAACGTTCTCAAGCAAACTTGAGATGACCTTGTTTGTTTAAAAATTTTTCGACCCACTCTGTTCAACAATAATGAGAACTCTACTTACCAGTAATGATACCCCTTGTTTCTTTCCGGGCAAAGGGCCCCTTGAGTAGAAAACCAGGGACACATTACTGTTTCCGATGAAGGGCTGAAGGGCCACTCCATCGCATCGCAAAGTGTGCTCTGGCTGTCATTCTGGCGACACGGGGCGGGATCTCCTGGTCGATCCGGAGGCCATTAGAAGGATACATCACATCATATTGTTTCCCTCCCTGACACGGGAGGCCTTCTCACCCCGCAGTTGACCCTGGATCAGCACAGGAACCCTCACTGACGCAAGAGCATCTCTGATTGCCGCGGATGGTCCAGTAATTGTCACATGTACTCCAGTTCCATGTTTTTTTTGCTTTCTTCAGAGACCTCAAGGACTCTGAACGTAGATTGTGAATGCAATGGAGTCCCAAATTTGTACTTATTGTCCCAAACTTGTACATCACTAATCCATTTTCGTCTTAAAATGCTCAAGATTTCGTCAGCATTGATTGCTGATAAAAAACTATACATTATGGACTTGATCATGCGCGCTCGCAAGTCATGGCAAGGGAAGCCTCGAGCGTTGCAGTCTCCATGGGCCACGCGGCGTCGGCCCTGCGGCTGACACTAAGCGATAGCCAATGAGCAAACGAAAAAGATGCTGCATTTTCAGGAAGATGGCTGATGAACTAGGTAAATCAGCACGCATGTTTAATGAAGTGCAAAAGTAAGCTAAACACAACCTTCATCTAAAAAGTGTGTGTGTGTGTGGGGGGGGGGGGGCAATTAACGCTGCCGGCCCCCCACCTTGAAAAGTGGGCGGGGGGGGGCATGACCCCCTAGCCCCCCTGTTTCTACACCCATGCGCCAAGGCCGCTGTTGCTCTCAGCAGCAGAACGCCCCGGATGAATCTTTGACATGTGTCGCTCCAACGTCCTCCGTTAAACTCTGGAGCTACAATTCAGGTGCCCACAAACAACAATCTTCCTAGATAGGCAGGGATTTTTTACGTTATTAAATTGAAAAGCTGACGATTAGCTACGCTCTTCTAGCCAGTCAGCTTCTCACGACATGAACACAGTTAACAGCAGCCCATAGCCTTGCACTGA